AATTCTCACAAATCTCATTCTACACTAACAGTTTCCAAAGAAGGTTGCTCAAGACAATCCATAAGGGGCAGAAAGAAAATATTAAAAACCCTGCATGTGTTACTCATCCACAAAAATACAAAGTTAGTTTACTAAATACATGGATTGATAATGGCACCCTCCCCAATGTCTGTGTCCATCTGTCACATGTCATAGAAAGTACTGGCCATAGAATGAGGAAAGTGGGGATGGACTCCACAGTACAGGAAGGAATATTCACCTTCATGGTACTGTGACCTTTTGCAATTTTCAAGTGTCCAAGTAAATGGCTGCATGGTTTATATTATCCCAAGTGAGAGAATCTTTACAATATGGAAGTGACCATGAAAATCTTTTATACCAAGCAGTGGCTTACTGATTATCTTGTGGCAAAGTACTTAAAAGTGTTGTTGAACTTACAGATGGGTTACATATTTTCTTTTACAAAGAAGTGTTCCAAAATTGCTGTCATCTTCTGTGATGAGAAAGGGACTAATACTTCTATCCTTAAGTTTTTTTCTTTTTAATAAACACAATTCATTATTTCAAGATGAAAGAAAATGTTTTAGCAATAACTCAGAAAGTAACTGCTTATCAAAAGAAACCTTTTCTGCGGCAAGAACATTTTGAAAATGGATGTTTTGAAAATGTTTGCATTATTATATTGAACAAAAAAAAATCTGTGCATTACCTATTATAAAAAAAAAAGTCTCTGCAGCATTGCACTAAAAAACAAACAAAAAACTTACAAGGAGAATTAAACTTAATTGAAATCCTTCCAAGAGTTCTGATGAAATTTGAACCTACTTAATTAAAAATATAAAAATGCAACCCCTATTAATAGTTTACAAAAAACAACTGCCATTGGGGATAAAGAATATTTACTTAGCTAAATTCCAACAAAATATTTTGCTTAATTGAGCCTGGAGAAAAAAAAAAAAACTCCAACAACACGTTTCTGACAAATGTCAGTCACTAAAACCAACTAGGAAAATAGACCCAGGCCTTAAGTCACTATATCTCAGTTTTAGACTTTAAAATATAATGAAGCATATTCAATCACACTTCTCTTATTAAAAATTAACTTTGAAAAACGATTTTTAAATCAAGTTACACGATGTTATTGACAGCATGTCAGATTGAAGAGGGAGGTCGGGTGGAAGAGTGGGTCTTTGGAGAGAAGGGACATGAAGGCCTCTTAGAAAGTAATATCATAACGGAATGAGATAACTATGCGAAGACCCAAGGGAAGAGCATGTAGGGCAAAGGAAGTTTGCTTAACAGGAAAGACCACCCACCATAAAACCGAGGTTGTTGGGGACTGAGAGCAAAAGGGAAGAACTGGATGAGACGCAGTTAGCAATGGAGGAAGGAGCCAGGTCCTATGAGCTGCAAACTCATCCAGATCCAGTCAGATTCCAGTTACTAAAAGATCATTCTAGCTGTACTTGAAGAACTGGCTGTAGATGCAAAGAGCACGAGCTAGAAAGCCTCTTGCAAGAATCCACTCTATGAGGTGCTCAGCATTTGTTATTCATGGAAAATGACTAATTTTGGTATTAGATTATTTACAGTACGCAACGCTGGTCAACAATAACTGTATCTGCAAATAAGATGAATACAGAAGTTTTAAGACTATTTTTACAACTTTGCCGCCGTAACTAGGATCTACCAGTGTCAAAATCAGTCAGTCATACACTGTTGCACATTAAGCAGGAGTAAACGGGCAAAAATCAGACACGTCTCCAGCTAACAAGCACAAGCACCTTCTGCCAAGGCTGGGAGACGGGCTTAAAGGTCTTAAGAAGAGACATACCTAGAGAAGAGATTTTCTTAAAACATATACTACCAATTACAGATTAGCGATACACAGAATGACGATACTAACCGTGTGCTCAGAATGTTAAGGGCAGAATTCCCACTCAGAACTTCTAGAACTGCAACGTACTTCTCGTCTGGACTATTTACGCACTTTCAGAGGATCACTGGGACCAGAGGGGGCTCAATGACAACTACCCCGAGTAAAGGCTCTGGGAGCTGGGGACAGGGACGGCGGCCAGGGCTGGAGCCCCAGGGAACACAGGCTGTGGTTTCTGTGGAAAACCCTAGAAGAAAGGGGCGCGCGGCGGGCTCTCACCTCAGGATTCTGATGCTGCGGCTCCTCCCCGCACTCCGACCCCGGCGACCGGTGCCGCGCGGGAGCCACGGCCTCGCCGCCGGGCTGGTGGCTCTGCTCATCCTCCATGACGGGTGTCACGGAAGAAAAGAGCTGCTAGAGCGCGCCACTCACTCACTCTCACTCGGCCAAGCCCGAAAGCCTCGCCTTTCTCCGCTGAAAAATTACCGGGCTCGCGTTCCCGCGGCGGCGGCCACACAAACTCGAGCGAACACCTCCCACTTCCGGGAGCGTGAGCCGTCCGCACGCCGCGCAGGCGCAGTGAGCCGGCGTGCAGAACGCGAGAGCCTCTACTGACGGGGGCGGGCGGGGTGGGGGAGGGAAGGAGGTGCGCGCGCGGGAGAGACAGGTTGGGAGCTTCCCGCGCGGAGCTGAGGATACGCAAGCGTCGGGCTCTATCTAGTCCCTGGAGGATTCCACTAGAGGAAATGACCGGTACCATCTCCTGAGAAGAATACAAGGAGTACTACGGAGAGAGGTGAATTTTAACCATTGCAAATAGCATTTATAAATCAATCTGCATTTTCTATAAGGCATTTAAGACGGCCGCGTCTGGACAGGAAAAAGAAATGGATCCGGATTTATTGAAAAACTGACCGAAGTGTGTGAAACAACTGTTTTCAGACATTGGACAATAGACAGTTCCAGGCATTTGTACCTGAGAGAAAAGAAACTAACGGGGTGGGCCCTGTATCTCCCTGGCTTTCTGCCTAGAGGCAGTGTCCAGCTTGCAGGTACCAGGGAAGCTCAAACACAGCCGAGGGTCTCGCCGGGAAGCCGGAGGGCTTGTTGAGTTGAGAAGACAGAAACTGGATTTAGGGCACATGGGGAGGCCAAGTTGGTTGGAATTTATGAGGCGGAGTTCTTAAAGAGCTTCAGGAATCTGTTTACGAGTACCCCTGCATCTGTGGCTGAATAAAAGTCAGTGAATATGTCCTGTGAAACTGCACAAGGCCAGGAAAAAACAATTATTGGGGAGCAGTAAGCCAGATAATTCTCAGAGCTCACACAGGACTAGGAATCCTTTGCGTTCCCTGCAGCCAGAGTGGAGAGACTGCTGAATACAGTTGGTGAGGGGAATATGCTGTAGAGACCCCAGAAGTGCCATGCCTTAGTATTGAGGTAAACTAACCCTAGACTCTGGGTCTAAAGGAAAAGCTACGCAGACCCTTAAAAAGCTTCAAGACAAGCCCTGATAGGCTCAAACTGCTCAATAAAGTAACCTAATTGCCTGCCAAAACAAAGTCTAATACTCTCTAAAAAACTAGGACAAAATCCAGGACTTAATAACATTAAATTTAAAATATCAGGCATCCAGTCAAAAATTAATAGACATGCCAAATAAAAAGGGAAATATATCATAGTCAATAGAAACATTTCCAGAAATGACAAAATGATGGCAAAAAACAGAGAAGGACTTTAAATGCCTATCATAGATTCACTCAATATGCTCAAGGATTTAACATAAAATATGACAGGAGAGAAACTGAAGAGATTTTTTTAAAAAGAAGCAGCAGCAAATAGAATTTCTGGAGATTTAAAATATATCTGAAAATTTTAAATCTGTGTATGGACTGGATAGCAATTTAGGCACTGCAGGGAAAAAAAGCAATAAAGTTGAAGACATAGCAACAGAAACAATCCAAAATGACACACACAGAAAGTAGACTGAAAAACAAAACAAAAATAGAGCTTCAGTGACCTATGGAACAATATAAAGAGGCCTAATATATATGGCCTCATAAAGCGGATGAGGGTGAAGAAAAAATATTTGAAGAAGTAATGGACAAAAATATTCCAAGTTTAATATTTGATATTGGATCTAAGAAGATCAAAGAAGCCCAAGTAAGGTAAATATAAAGAAAACTGCACCAGGCCATATCATAATCACATTGGTGAAAAATAGAGATAAAGAAAAAATCTTAAAAGCAGCTGGTGAAGAAAGGCATATTATATACAGAGAAACAATAATAAGAGTTTTTATAGACTTTTAATTAGAAACTATGCAAGCCGAAAGAAAATGAAATGACAGCTTTAAAGTGCAAAAACAAAACAAAACTCTCAACTTGGCATTCTATACTCAGCAGGGTGAAACAGACTTTTTCAAACAAACAAGTCCAGAAAAGCCGCATCCTGAAGCAGAGCCATCCTAGCTGACTTGCAGACTTGTGAAGAAGAAAAATAAATGCCTCTTGTAAGCCACTGGGGTGGTTTGTTATTCTGCATTATTATAAAAATAATTTAACAAGTATAGTATCACTTCAAGTCACATGGCAATTGGTGAGAACATATAGTTCTCTAATAGCAAAAGGGACATAATTAGAAATCTACCACAGATGTTTTACTTTGAAATCATCTTCTTTCTAAGTGGACTGTATTTTTTCTCTCATAACTACAGACTTACATGTTTATAAAATAAGGTTTATAGGCTCAGAAATTATAAAGATTTCTAAGGTACAGCTCTGATCATCTCTTTCTGCCAGGATTTAATCATTTCTTCTTCAGATAATGACTCTGAGTCCTGACACAAAAATGCAGGGAAATTAACAGGAATTGCTAATCTCATCTCTCTCTCTCAAAGAAGAAAAAATGACCCAGTAAACACTGTCAGGATCCACATTAAGTGAACATTAATAAGGACTAGCTACAAATTGTTCTGTTAGAACTTTCTGATTTGTGTCTCAACTGTTAAGTAAAGAAGATTTACTATAAAGACTTGATTTATTATCTATACTTCAAATGATGGGCTTATACTTAGTATTGTTGCCAGTATCTATGGGAATGCTAAGATGCAATAATCATTCGTTCATTCAACAAATATTTATTGAGTGCTTTCTATGTGCCAGAAATGAACATTGAAAAAAATGACAAAATCTTTTGCCCTAGTGAAATTTACATTCAAGAAGTGCGATACAGACAACAAACAAAGGAAATAAGTAAACTGTTCACAGTGTGGAGAAAAATTACACAGGTAAGGGGAATGGGTAGGGATGCTCGAGTGGGAAGGGGGGCTTGCAATTGTAAATAGAGTGGTTATGGGAGATCTCTCTGATATTCTATTTAAGCAAAGAGACCTAAAGGCAGTGAGGGAACAAGCAGGATATCTGAAGAGACTTTCAGGCAGAGCAACAAGTGAAAAAGGTCCTGAGCTGAGAACTTGTTCAATACCACTATGTCCCATATTTTCCTTTGATTATGTGATGTCAGCATGAAGGAGATCTGCATTTTTTAAATGTTGACTCTGCTGTTACTTTCCATACACCAAGGGAGAAATCCCAGTGCCTAAGAAAGTCAGTTGCCCTAGATTGTCAGCTCGAGGGGAAGGCCTCCCTAAATGTTTCAAGTATGGCACAAGCCTAAAAGAGAGGTTCTAGAATCTATTATTCTCTTATTAACCGCAGTGAAAAACATACCTGTTTTTCATTTAGCATTCATTAATGTCCCTGAATTAATCCACTCTCTGACAGATCTGTGTGTTGAATACCAGGTTTTGTAAATTGTTCTAGGCTGAACTAAATATGTGACTTTTATGGAGTAGAATGCCATTTATTTCTAAGCCCTTTACCCGTTGCTGCCTGATGCCAGTGTATATTTAATTCTGTACGTGTAGGTTTGAATCTGAGCACCCTGCTTTGTTCTATTGGTCCATGATGTCCGTTCTTATACCCACCCCACGCTACTTTTATTGCTTGGCTCTGCAGTGTCTTAATATCTTGCAAAAGAAGTCCCCCCTTTTTAATCTTGTTTTTCAAAACTGGCTTAGCTATTTATGGATTTTGGTCTTTCACATACATTTGAGGACAAAGTTTTTGGTCCTCGAAAATCCAACAGAATTTTTCATTAAAATTGAATTCAGTAGATTGAGGAGAACTGAAGAACTGACATACTAAAATTGTCACCCTGTTAAAAAATATAACTA